CGTTAGGGGGGGTGGAGTGCCAGGATGGGTGCCCCTCCTCATGAGGAGCAGGATTGGGCGGGTGCCTTTCCTCTTGGCTCCTCACCTCCGAGACGTGGCCAGGGAGCAGCTCCATTACAGGGAGTTAAAGCCAAACCCAGCTGTAAGCCAGGTTTGGGGTAGGATTCACCCTTGAGGAGCGGTTTATCTGGGGAGGCCGAGTCTCCCGTGCACCCCAAAATTGCTGCGGGCCGGTAAGTCATCGCGACGGGACGGGGTTGAGCTGCTCCTGGGGCGGCCCCGACCCCGGCTTTTTGCTGCCTTCTTCCAGGAGCGCGAGGTTTCGGAGGAAGGAAAAGGGCTCCCCGCCGCCCCTGGCGCGGGGGGTGAGCTCCCGGGGTGCCCCCGGGCCGGGATGGTTGGATCGGAGGCGTTGGAGGTGCCCCAAGTAGGTGATGCTTTGCCCCATGGCTGCTTTTGGGGCTGGGGCCATTGGCTTCGTCCCCGTGGTGACCGGGACCAGTGGGGGCTTCAAATGGGCCCCACGTCAGCAATTTGGGGGTTTTGGGGGTCAAAACCCCAGCGGCAGCTCATTTTCCCCTTTAATTAATGTATATTTTTCCTCTTTAATCCATTAATGTTTTTCCTCTTTAACTCCTTGACGTTTCCCCTCTTTCACTTATTTCTATTTTTCCCCTTTAATTAATGTCTTTTTCCATTATGATTCCATTTAATCCATTTCTATTTTTCCTCCTCAATTCATTTCCATTTTTCCTCTTTCATTCATTCCTATTTTTCCTCTCTAATCCATTTATATTTTCCTCCTTTCATCCATTGATATTTTTCCCCTTTAAATAATTTATACTTTCCCCCTTTAATTCATTTATATTTTTCCTCTTTCAATTTATTTACACTTTCCCCCTTTAATTCATTTCTCTTTTCCCCCCTTAATCCATTTCTCTTTTCCCCCTTTAATCCATTTCTCTTTTCCCCCTTTAATCCATTTCTCTTTTCCCCCTTTAATTCACTTATATTTTTCCCCTTTATCTCATTGATATTTTTCCTCTTTAATCCATTTATACTTTTCCCCTTTAATCCATTTATATTTTTCCTTTGGAATTTTGGCCTTTACCCTCCTTGGGAACCTGTCTTTTATAAACTCTTTATAAACCAAACCTTCGGTGGCTGTGGGGCAGCGAAATGTGAATGTCAATGGAAATAAATCCCTTGGGGAAGGCGGTGCGGATGGGTCGGTGCCCCTCAAGGATTTTGGGGGTGGCTCCGATGGTTTTTGGCCTCATCCCGTGCCTTTCCTTTCATTTCCCGCTGCAGGTGACCGGTGGCAGCCGCGATGAGAGCCTCGGCCCTCGCCTGATGCCTCTTCTGCTGCCAAAAATGATCAACAAGTCCCGTGAGTGCCGTGATGGGGGTGGGGGGAGATGTCTCCCTTTTCCTTAGGGGATTTACCTTTGGAAATTCGGCTTTAGGAGTAGGATGCTGCTTTGCTGTGGTATTGTGGGAGAGGGGGATTTTGGGGGTCCTGGTTGTGGTAGAAACAGGGGGTGGAAGGACCCAAAAAGAGAAAGCTGCAATCGTGGATCCACTACTGGGGCTTGTGGTAGAAAAATGGGGTGGAAAGACCCAAAAAGAGAGATGTGGAGCCACAATGATGGATCCACCATTGGCGTTTGTGGTAGAAAAAGGGGGTGGAAGGACCCAAAAAGAGAGATGTGGAGCCACAATGATGGATCCACCATTGGCGTTTGTGGTAGAAAAAGGGGGTGAAAGGACCCAAAAAGAGGGAAGTAGAGCGGCAATCCCAGACCCACTACTGGGGTCTGTGGTAGAAAAACGAGGTGGAAACACCTGAAAAGAGAGAGCAGCAATCGTGGATCCACCACTGGGGTCTGTGGTAGAAAAAGGGGTGGAAACACCTGGAAAGAGGGACATGGAGCTGCAATCCTGGATCCACCACTGGGGTTTGTGGTAGAAAAAGGGGTGGAAACACCTGGAAAGAGGGACATGGAGCTGCAATCCTGGATCCACCACTGGGGTTTGTGGTAGAAATAGGGGTTGAAAACACCCGAAAAGAGAGAGGTGGAGCTGCAATCCTGGATCCACCATTGGGTTTGTGGTAGAAAAAGGGAGTGGAAGGACCCTAAAAGAGAGAGCGGCGATCCTGGATCCACCATTGGGGTTTGTGGTAGGAAAAGGGGGTGGAAGGACCCGAAAAGAGGGAGGTGGAGCTGCAATCCTGGATCCATCACTGGCGTTTGTGGTAGAAAAAGGGGGTGGAGGTGCCCAAAAAGAGGGACATGGAGCTGCAATCCTGAATCCACCATTTGGTTTGTGGTAGAAATAGGGGTTGGAAACACCTGAAAAGAGGAACATGGAGCCACAATTCTGGACCCACCCGGACACCCCAACCCATCCAAAACCCCGGGGTGACGGTGGTTCTCTCCCCCCATCTCTCCGGGCAGGAGGGAAGATACTCGGGGTGCTGGCGCTGTTCCTGGTGATGGTTTGGTACTCGATCTACCGCGAGGACGGGTACACGCAGCTGTGAGTGCCGTGATTCGCATCCCCCTGCCCTTCCTGTGGCCCTCGGAGGCCGCATCCTCCTGCTGACTTGGGGAGGGGGGAGGTGGCAGCGGCCAGAGCACGATGTGGGTTTGTGTTGGCACTGGGGCTCTGCGGGGTTTTCGGCAAATGCCAGTGTTTTCCCAAGGAAAAAGCTGATGGAGATGGGGAAAGCGAGACCTCTCCCGATGCAAGCAATAAATACTCCAAATTAAGACCTTAAATATGGGTGATATCCCCGAGCCCCCCTCTGGGTTGGGATGCTGGGGTCGCGTCCGAATTTTGCCGTGTGGTTTATTTCAATAACCTCTTCCCTCACAGCTTCTATTTCCCCGTGCAAGACAACAAGACGACGTGTCCCCTGGGCGAGCTGGAGCGCAAAGCGGCACAGCTCATCGGGAAGTGAGTTTTGGGCTGGGGAGCATGGCGGGGTGTGGAGCCAGGATGCCCCCAAACCCCGCTCTCATCGCCCCTTTGCTCCTCGGCAGCTACACCAGGGAGCACCCCCTCTTCTTGCAGCTGAAGGACTACTTCTGGGTGCGGACGCCCTCGCTTTATGAGCTGCCCTACGGCACCAAGGGAAGCGGTAAGCCTTGTCCGTCCGTCTGGCCGTCCTTGTTTCTTCTCAAAACCAGCCGCAGGTTGAATTTCTGGGGACTATTTTGGGTTTTCCTACCCCTTAGGAAGTTGTTTGGTTGGTTTTCAGGAGGTGGATGTGGGGGGAGCTGGTGTTGATGGCAGGGATGGGGCAGCTTCTCACTTTCCTCACCTTCTCCTCATCCTCGCATTGCAGAAGACGTCCTCCTGCGCTTGCTGGCCATCACCCACTACTCCCTGCCCGAGAGCATCCAGAGGTAACGCCGGGGCGCGTTTGGGGGCTTTGCCGCCTTGTTCTTCATCACCGCTCTCTTGGAGGGGGGGAAATTTGCCCGTTTTGCCCGGGATTTGGTAAAAATGCGGTGGATGGAAGCTTTGCAGAGTGGTTTTGGGTTAAAACCTCAGGGTTCGGAGCAGGTCTGGTTGTTTTCTGTCGCAGCCTGAAGTGCCGGAGGTGCGCGGTGGTGGGCAACGGCCACCGGCTCCGCAACAGCTCCATGGGGGAGACCATCAACGCCTACGACGTGGTCATCAGGTACGGCCCCGCACCACTCCCCGCCACCCCCCGCAGATGGGGAGGACGCCTGCCATGTCCCCGTGTCCCCCCCGAAAAGGTTGAACAACGCCCCCGTCCACGGGTACGAGCAGGACGTGGGCTCCAAGACCACCATGCGCCTCTTCTACCCCGAATCGGCCCACTTCAACCCCAGGACGGAGAACAACCCCGACACTCTGCTGGTGCTGGTGCCCTTCAAGCCCATGGACTTCCAGTGGATGGAGGCCATCCTCAACGACAAGAAGAGGGTAAATGTGGGGGGGAAACTGGGTCCAACCCCGCCTTGGGGACCCACCGACCTCGTCTTGGGACACCTCCATCCTCCGGTAGGTGCGGAAAGGCTTTTGGAAGCAGCCCCCGCTGATCTGGGACGCCGACCCCGAGCAAGTGCGGGTCCTCAACCCTTACTACATGGAAGTGACCGCTGCTAAGCTGCTGCACCTCCCCATGAGGCAGCCGCGGAAAGTCAAGCAGGTACGGCCTGGGGGTGGCCATCGCAAGGGGGGTAGTGGTCCCTGTGGCCACCCCGCGCAGCTCCCTGGTGGCCCGCGGCTCTTGGCACATCCTGTCCCCGCAGAAGCCCACCACGGGGCTGCTGGCCATCACCCTGGCGCTGCACTTCTGCGACCTGGTGCACATCGCGGGCTTCGGCTACCCCGACTCGGCCAACAAGAAGCAAACCATCCACTACTACGAGCAGATCACACTCAAGTCCATGGCCGTAAGTATCTGCCCCCACTTTTTGGCCATGTTACCCCCACTTTTTGACCACATTACCCCCATTTTACCCCTGAGGATGGGGGATTGCAGCCCCCCTGCTCTGGTCCAGGAGGCTCTCCCCATGGGCACCTTCCACGATGGGTGTTGAGGTCCACTTTTGGACGGTCCTCCCCCAACTTCTTGTAGCCCAGTGGAGAGTTGGGCCTGGTTGATGTGGCCAGGGGGCTTGGACAGGGCCTTGGCCCTGCTTTTGGGGGGCTCGGGCACGGTCTTGGCCCTGCTTCTGGGGGTTCCTCACTTCAGGGTTCACCCAACGCTGATGGGGTGGGCTGGGGCAGGAGGGAAATGCAAGTCACCTCCACTTTGGTGTCACCCCTACGCCGGTGTCACCCCCGTCCCGCAGGCGTCGGAGCACAACGTCTCTCACGAGGCGGTGGCCATCAAGCGGATGCTGGAGCTGGGCCTCGTCAAGAACCTCACCCACTTCTGAGGGCGGCGGAGGCCGCGCAGGGACAGCATCCCCTGCCCTGCAGGGGGGGGGACAGCG